TATATATATTATATGTATCTGTGTGTATATGTTGTTAGTTGATCTGATTTCAAACGCTACTGGTACGTGACGTGATTTGTATCGATCATCGCAGGTTTCAGGACCCTGGCGGCGTCGCGCCTTCGATAGCCGCGACCGTGATCGGAGCGGTGAGAGGCGCGCTGCCGTGGTGGATTCTGAGCCAGGGATCAGGGGGATACTCCCCGGGTTGTGCAATTATATGGGTATGTCTGAAAATGGGGTATACCCCCAATTATAGCCCAATTATAGTAGGGATAATGATCATTAACCATTGGGTTTCGGGGTACACTATTTTCAGACACACCCATATACACAAAATTGTTTTGATATTATGTCTATATACACACACTTCACATACATATATGATGACAAACACGTGTGTATATATATATATATTATATTGCTATCGTTAGTTATATTACATTTATTTTTTATTATTACTATTACCACTATTATTACTAAAATTTTGATTTATTGTTTCATTATTCTTATTATTGTTATTACTATTATTGTTTTTATTGTTATTGTTTTTTTACCATTACTATTATTGTTTTTATTGTTTTTATTACTACAATTGTTATTTTATTTTTATTACTAATATATTATTATTATTAATAATAATTATTATTTTCACGATTATTGTTATTATATATGCAGATATATGGCTATTATTTTTTAAGACTTAATGTTAAGATGAAAGGTTTTGATGCTTGGGATGCGCAAAAGCGTAAGTGTGCTGATTTTCAGATTGCTGGGTAGAATCTTCAAAGATGAAGCAGAACTCAGATCAACTCACATTTTCCAGCCAAAAATTCTGGTTCAACAACCAAAAATACAGTTCCAGTATGTTCCAATCGAACTAGCTATTTTTGCAGCTATAAACTCCCAGCTGAAACATTGTTTCCAGCAAAAGACATAGGAAACAAGAAAAAGGAAACAAGAAATTCAGAGGAAACACAACGCAGCCCATCTATTTTTCCACATTTTTTTGCCTACAGATTTTGCCAAAACGCCCAAAACGGGGCCTCAGCCTTGGCCAGGCCCAGCTTCAGGCGAGACAGGAGTCGGGGCCCAGGGGCCGGAGTGGAACACAGAAAGCTGAGGATCCCCAACCCCCTGAGTCACCAGCTGAGGATGCCATATTTTTTTTCAGCACATATGCTTATCTGGCATATATTCTGGCATTCTATTTGACATTCTGTTTGACATAATTTCTGACCTTCGACTTAACATTGTTCTGGAATTATGCCATTCTGTTTGGCATTCTATTCGACATAATTTCTGCAGATAGGTCTAGATTTCTATCTGACACTGTAACTGACCTATCCATCTATCCACCTATCTGCAAGTGGTCCCAGAGCCAGACTTTGAAATCCACATGGATGGTACCGATTGCCGACCTTGACCCCCCCCAAAAAAGAACTGACATACTATCTGGCATCTTATCTGACAGTTTGTGTGGGATTCGGAATTTCTTTCTATTTGACATACATTCTATCATTCTGACATTTGATCTGACATTTTTTCAAACTATATTTGGCATTCCTATCAGACATATATTTTGAAATTCTATATTTGGCATTCTATTTCTGATTTCACTGCATCCCTGACATTTTATTTGGCTATCTGGCATGGGGTTCCGGTGCCCTAGAGAGCTGGCCAGCATGGCCAGCAGAGCCGGCTGGCCGGGTTCGGGTCCCTCACCTGGCAGCTGAAAAAACTGGGATGATTTGGGGCCTCGCCATTTTGTGTGAAAAACTTCTGAAAAACATAACAAACCCATCCCACCCAGTATCAAACATCATTGAACTATATGATTACCCTCTGGTAAACTAACATAACTATGGGAAATCACCATTTTTAATGGGAAAAGTCACTATAAATGGCCATTTTCAATAGCTATGTTAAATTACCAGAGGGTAACAGATATGTTATG